CGCCGACTTGAAGAGCTTGAGGGCGATGCGGGCGTACATGACCACGATGAGGGCCAGGGGCGCCACGTAGATGTGGGTGAAGAGCACGGTGGTGTAGATGCGCCTCATGCCCAGGTCCGGCCAGGCCTCCCAGCAGGAGTACAGCGGGTAGGAGTTGTTGTGGGTGTCCACCATGAAGTGGTGCTCCTCCCTCGTCACCGTCAGCGTGATGGCCGATGGGCACATGATGATCAGCGCCAACACCCAGATGACCGCGATGGTCACCAGGGCTTTCCGCAGCGTCAGCTTCTGGCGGAACGGGTGGACAATGCAGCGAAACCTAAGGGAGGGAGAGAAGGAGGTGATGGATGATGGCTCCGGGGAGCCCTGACCCACCAGCAATGTGTGCTGGTTGCCTTGGGAATACCCTGCCTTGACCCAACGCGGTCCCGCTCTCCTAAAGACCCAACGGGTTAGCTCTTGCACCAGGAGGACCTAACCCATGCCTCTTGCACCCTGCGAGGTGCCAAGGCTTGGAAGATCCCGTTGGCCAACGTACCTTTCCACGGCAATGGCCACCAGCGTGAAAACAGATGCCGAGACGGACATGCCCTGCACCAGGCCGCTCATCTTGCACATGGCGTTGTCAAAGGGCCAACCTGGAATGACGGGGAGAGCGTCAGGCGGCTCCCGGAACGCTGAGCCCGGCCTGCCCGGCTGGGCGCTCCACCTGGATCCGTCGGCACCTTCCTCTAGGTGTCCCCACGCGCTGTGTGATTTCCAGCCTATTTCTGATGCTAAAGCCTAAGGAGGGATGATCAAGGCTTGCTGTCGTGCAGGGATGGCCTCCAGTGATAGGGTCGCTTGGAAAAATTAAAGATGTTACAATTTTTGGAAGCTTTAAGAGCAAACCATCACCGTACACCTTCCCCTGCTCGTCTCTCTCCCATTCATCGGACTGTACCCGTTATCACAAGGACTGACCTTGGGATCTGTGTTCACGAGGGCTTTAGTCCTGTATCTTGACTGCAGATATAGAAACATGTCAATGCAGCGCGAAGGTCACGTTTACTTGGCCGCTAAGTGTCAAAAAATATCAAAAAAACCCCACACAGACTTATTTACCCGCATGAATAATAGCTATAAAGAAAATGATAACCTTTCCCCTCAAACAAATTATTTTTATTGCTTTTATTTTTCCTCTCCTATTAGAGCTACTTGGATAAAACAGCTGGCAAGGACAGAGGGGACTTTAGCCTAATGTCTGTTGTTATGAACAACAACTCTGCTTAAAAGCCCGGTACAGTAAGAGGCGATGGGAATTATTCAGAATTGACGGAAATGTTAAAAATAGGTGACGGAGGGCCCGTTTTGGCGTGGTATAACCGGCGCTGCAGGTGAGGCATGAGCAGTGGGAGTCTCTCCGGGTGGGATCTGCAGTCCGGTCCCCGGCTCCGCGATCCGTGAGCGGGATGAAGGCTCATCCAGCTGCTCTCCGTCAGCTGGTCTCCTCTGCATCTCCAGGAGCACCCGCGGCAGTGCCAAAGCTCAGGAGCTCTCAGGTCCTTGTGCCCTTGGGACGATGCAGACATGAACCTTGCCTTTTCCTCCCCGTTTTTTCCCTCTGCTTGATCCTTTTTGACCGTATTCTTGCTATGCCCCCAAGCGCCGAGGCCCCCCGCCGCTCACCCGTGATGAGGTTGTCCACGAGCGTGGTGGGCATGCAGAAGATGCCCACGAGCAGGTCGCTCACGGCCAGGTTGAGGATGAACATGTTGGTGACCGTGCGCATCTGGCGGTTCCGCAGCACCGTGAGGCACACCAGCGCGTTGCCCACCATGCACATGAGGAAGATGAAGACGTAGGCGGCGATGAAGGCGGCCGCCACGGCGCACGAGTGCTGGTAGTAGGCCGAGAAGGTGTAGTTCTCCCGGAGCCGCGCGCCCGGCTCCCACCAGCTGCCGTTGGAAGGGCCTGGGGAGGGGAAGGTGGAAAACCGAAAGGAATTCTTCTCCTCCACCCGCTTTTGGGCTCATTTGTGAGTTCCCCGCCCCTGTCTTGCTCCCCGCGCTTCAGGCAGGAATAAACTTTGTGGGACTTCACTCCTGCAGGCACAAAACGGTGGGATTTTCCCCCCCACCCCCACTCCCCTTTGCACAGCCCCTTCCCCCCCGGGCGCAGGCGAGCGGTGGGAGGAGGAGGAGGCAGGGAGGAAGGCTGGGGGGGGTGCTCACCTTCCTCGGGTTGGCCCACGTCCGCCCGCGGTGCCGGCATGCGAGCCGGGGGTCTCCGGCAGCCGCTGGGAAGCGGCGCCGCATCCGC